TTAATCATTATCATTCGGAGATGAAAACAGTATTTGGATCATAGCACATTTCAAGAAAATTTTCACTTTCAGATTAAAATTTGAAGGGAATATTTTGTTGATTCATTTATAGTTGAAACTAACTTCAATAGTACTAATAATACTGCCACCTGAATGTATTCTCACACAAGGAGCCTGCTTTTTTTTAACAGTCTGCCAACTTTCGATTTGAGAGAATGATGGTCTGGTGTTTCAAAGATTTCTGTGAAAAATTTAATCATATAGATTAAAATTAAATATTAGGTCTGATACTAGTGTACATAATATTCATAAAGAAATACCTTCATAAGTAATTTGATTTTTTATTACCCTTTATATTTAGGTAAATGTTGACTTTACATTAGGAATTACAATAAAACCTCACTTAATCAAAATCAATTATAACAGAAATGGGTGGGAGAAAATAGTACTGACTCAAAATTGAATCTACACAATCTTTTTTTTTTTCCCCTGGAAACCTTGGCTGTACATGTAAACAGTAAACTATGAAATAAATCTTTTCAATAGATATTTCTCAAGTCTTCGACAAATAATATCAATTCGAATTTGTGCTGTATTAAACATGGTAGAATTTGCTAAGTTACTAAATCAGGAACATCAAAGACTTTAATTATATTTAAAAACATTTTATACAACAATATATATTCTTAAATAGGTTTTGGTATTCTATGAGGTGTGTCACCAGTGGTGAATCACTGAAGTTGACAATATTCTGAGCTCTCGATTATATATCTGTGAATTATCTCTGTTGCGGTCAATCTGCACATCTCACTGCTAAGCTTTGGATGAGTTAATTTATGTCTATTTGCTATTGTAAAACAGGAATGGCCTATAGACATTAAGACTTAAAAACTGAGTCTCTGAAGTTATTTCTTGTATTAAGCTTTCAAAATTAAATGAAGAAAGCAAAAAGTGCAGATTGCAAAAAATAAGAATGATAAGGGTTGTAGGATTTTATGAGACTAAGGCAGTCTAGTAGAAGAGATTCAATAGAAGCACACAGCAGACATAAAGATGAAGTAACAGAGATAACAGTGAAAAGGCACTAAAACCTGTAAATGAATTTTTAGACTATAGGGATGAATAAAAATGAACTTGAATTTAATGTCATTATATCTTTGCACACAGCTGCTGTACTCAGTTATATGACTTTAAAAAAAGGAATGCAACATACATTTTTATAAAGAAATATCGAAAATATACATAAAGCTATGGTCAAAGCTTACAAGAATCTTCCAGCCCCTAAATTTTGCTCCCCTGTGATGTTAAAATGACTCTGCCGCTAAAGCAATTACTGTGTCACCAGAGAAGAACTGTTGGCTCATTGTAAAGGCAGTAAAACATTTTGTCATTATCTCTATGGCTGCAAACCCCTGCAGCGCACAGTCCATATTTCATTGAGTTGGCTACTTAATTTCAAAAATCATAAGTGCAAAATAATAAAACGGCTAAAAGGATGGATAAAGCAGCTACACAAATACAATACGGAAATTGTACAATGTAAAAGAATTTCACATAGAAACATAGCAGCACATTCAAGATCTTGTACAGAAAAGCGCAAATACTGTTTCAAAGTTAAGGGAAAATATGGCTTTGAAGTCCCACTGGTTAGGCAAATTAGTACAGCCTCCATAACATGAAAAACTAGTCAAGTAAAATTCTCAGTGGGCAAGAAATAGCACTCATTTAGTCCAACAAAGAACAGATATTGTGGATTTACTTCAAATGATACTTAGATATACTTCTGTATCAGAAATAGGAAGCTCACGAAGGAAAGAACTTTCAGATAGCAGACTCATTTATTTTACCAAGATCTTGAGTTCAAGTGTTTTGTTAAAGATTCACTATAGTCTGGAAGTCACTTTGGTGTTATGGAAACACTCCATAAAAATGGTGAATGTTTCATCTGAAAGTCCAAAGTAGATGTAGAAAAATGGTGCAAATACAGTAATGCAGGTGGAGCTAAAAAAGGCCTGCAAACACACAAATGAGGAGGATCACAGTGCTACAATTTAAGAGCACCATTCGAAGGATGATACTGGATTCAAAAGGATTTGTTCTGGATTTACTTGGACCTTATAAAACTAAGGGAAACAAGTACATCTCAATTTATGTTACATTTACATTACTCATAACATTTAGTAATTGGAAGCTTATGCTTTCCTGATCAAGAAGTTTTAATCATCGCTAAAGTCCTAGTAGAAAACTGGATTTTCTGATCTGGATGCCTCTTTTTACACACTTTGACGGAGGAAAAAATTTTACATTTGACATATTTAAAGAACCCTGTAGCATTCTTGGTATGTAAAAGAAATTCACACTACAGACAGTATGGTAGAGTGATTCAATCAAACAATATTGGACCACCCCTCTCTTCACATGACGGAGCCAGCAGAAACGGAACCAAAAGTTGTCATTATTCCTACTAGCATATCGGAATATGGTCTATGAGAATAAAGGATTTTCTGCATGATGAATAATTCTGGCCTTTGATTTTTATCTGCCATGTAAACTCTTCTTCAGACAACTGCCGGAAATGCCTTCTTCACTTGAACAGTATTCACAAGACGTAAAAGCACATTTAGAAGACATTTGTAGGTTCGCCAGGGACAGGATCAACATGGTCACTGATAGGATAAGAATGAGGTATGATGCCAAGTTGAGAGAATTCAAGAAAAGGGATTAAGCATGGTTATGGAACCAAATACAACATCGAGGATTTTCACAAGCTGCAGACATCCTGGAAGGTGTCCCACCATGTAATGAAGAAACTGAACACCATAGTAAAGGATTCCATTGCTCAGGTGAAGTTCTTAATGAGGGGAGCTATATTGTAAATTTCTGTAAATGTTTAAAAATATTTTATTGCATTGTTGTTTTTCTGTATGTTGTAATATTATGCATTGTTTTATTTATCTATTTATTAGTTGAATTTTTACATTTAGGGTGATAATTTCAGAGTTTATTTTTGTGTAATTAAATTCGTAGTTACATATTTTATATATAAGTGCTTATTGCTAGTACAGAATTATAAACTTTATGATTCAGAATTTAAAAACGTGTCAAATTGTGAAAATACTCAAATATGATGTGATACAGAGATGGAAAAGTTTCTGAAAAGTCTCAGCGACATTTGGACATTTTTCACTAATTTGGCTACCTTCTGGAAGTTTCACGGAAATGCATTTTTGCTTTAAAAGCAATTCCTCCCAAAACTTCTAGAACTAGAGCAACACCATATATGTACAGCTTTAATAGCCAGCAACAATCATTTTGTAATGCAGCTCTCAGAAACAGTGGTTCGAACAGAATTAATTAGCTGTATTGCATTTTAGAGTTTACTCTATAATTGATATCAATAGTTTATGGTATTTCTACTGCATTAAGGAAAATTTGCCTAATATCTGCATTCCTCCTGAGTTATTTACAGCAATTAATTTTAGCTGTCATTTCTCCAAAGCATAATAAATGTTTTTCTATTCGTTTGGAGTAATTACTCAAAGAGACATCATGAACCCACAGCTCGACACAAGATATTGTACATACAGAGTGATTCAAAAATGTATGGGAGAAATGTAAAAGCTGGTAGAGGAACCAAAATAAGCAAATTTTATAATGGAACACTTGAGCTGAAGTTGGCACATCGTGGTGATAGATGACAATTTTGAGCATTCTGTTAGCGTAAGTTGTTGTTCCCTTGTGAATTTTGAGCGGTATACATCACACAAGCTGAGTTCACAAATAAGCATTTCATCCATATCCATAGAGCTGTGGACGGAAAGGAAGCTGCTCAAAAGAAGTACACAGGAATCATTCTCTGTACCTCCTTCCAATAGCAATTCCATTTTAGCAACATTTACATCGTTAAATTGCATATCGATGAAATATGCATTCGTGTAGTGATGAAAACTCACATGAGGAATGATGATTTTCGCCAGCAAAACGTTTTACGCTATCATTCAGCAGTGCTCTGTACTAGCTGAATGTGCCATTTTGGTACACACATTCCAACAAAATCTGGTTATTTCGATTCCTTCAATTATTTTGTTTCGCAAATATTTTTGAATCACCTAATATACACTTTTTTATTACTTAAAATGCAACAAGTCACAGACTGAGATATTTATCTGCATTAACAAAAAATTGTTCTGAAGTTTGAATTAAAAATTTATAATTAATATTGTTTTTATATCAATTTAAAATCACACATAAGTGTCATCATTTAAATAAAATATTTTAATACACTTCAGATTTAATTATGTACTTAAAACAATAAATTTTGAATTTTTTAATTCCTTTTTAACAATATCTAAGATGTGTTGTGATCATATTTTCTTTATTCCTCTGGATAATTAACAGTGTTTACGTTTTTGTCATATTTGTGTTCAATTGCTTTTTACACTTCAATAACATTACAATATAAGATGTTTTAAAAAAATTTTAATGTACTTCTAATTTTTAAATCTTCAAACTTTAAAATGTTAAGTGCAATTTAAATAGCTTTTCCTCGTAGATCAGAGCAGCCCCATTCACACGACTGAACTGATATTATTATTTCATGATATTACTTTGTCATGTGTAATTTATTTGTTAGATGCAATTACTATATTTAATTACTTTTTTTCAATTTTTATAATAGATAGGCATGGTGAGGGTTTTATTCTAATTCAGCTCAATATTATCTTAATGTAATGTAAAAAGTATATGTGTTTTTATATTAAATTGCATATTCTGGAAAGAAAATTATTGATCTATATGGAAAGCAACAGTTTATGTTAAATCGGATTAAATGAAGATTTGAGTACAGCGAATGTAGTTGTAATACTGTAGATTTAGAATTTTAAAAAAGTATGTTTTTCATATCCTTCACCAGATTTCAATTTATTACTTATTTTCTATGTTTTATTACTTAATTCCTTAAATTTACATGGTCTCTAATTAAATTTAAAAAAGATGCTTACACTATATTTGCAGGTTCATTCCGACTTTTTACTTGAAAACCAAATTCAAATCTTTCCTTCTTTTTACATGGAAATGTAGTTTTAACTAACTTGGCTCCTGCATGCGTTGTGCGTATTTCACACCATGGTGAATCTGAAAATATATAAATAATAATATAAAAAATAATAGCTATATAGACATAAACAATGCATAAAGTGTTAATATAATATTTTCACTACAAACTACAATTCAATACACACTACTTCAATACACACTAGTTCTTATTTTTTCCATTAATAAAAGAAAGTTTGTTATTGTGTACAGTGTACAGACGGAAAAGATAAAAAGAAAAAAATAAGAGCTACAAAACTGTAACACAGCTTTCAATGACTGCATCCATGAGCAAATCGAAACACATTTTAAAATTTTGATTAAGACAAATTTAGTTTTACAACACAAATAATATCTTAGCTTCTGATGTTTCATTACTATTTTCCTGAACATATAGCATTATGTTCGTTTTTGCTTTTCTTCATCTATTGCTTTTGATACAGAATGGTTGTCATTCCTCCTATTTTTGCTCCTAGATATGAGAGACCTGTTTCTGATTGCCTTCGAAATTGATTTTGTTTTATTCTCAAAATCAACAACAAACTTGAGTTACTTTTCTGTCTAATTAAAAATTTTTTAGGCAAAATGGAATGTGACCCGAATAAGCAACTATCACTGCTGTTATATGCAGAGGTTAAATTGCGCCAGAGACCAGCTCTGATAGTTCTCAGTTTCTGAGATAAACTGAAATTTTACCCGGAATGCACGAGAGCCCTAAAAAGAGAATTTCGGCACTTCTTTTGCTTCTTCTATCTATCACGCGAATTTCACATCGATCAGCTCCTGGTGTTACAACTTTAATGCCAATATTAAAAACTAGCAATAACACTTTTGATGGGCAAGAAGGGAAAAGAAACTGATCCCCAACTGCCAATGCTCTGGATAAAGCGGGGAAACTCCCGATTTTTCATCACATCTTCAGTTCTTGCAACAAATCTACAAATTGAAATTATGTATCCAAAGGAAAGGAAAAGAAATTTTAAAATAAAATAACAAGAAACAATCATTAAAATTAATTAAAAAAATCTGAAAGGTTTCAGATTTTAAATTAAGGGGCATTTTTTAACGTTTTGTGAGTTACCTTTATTTATTAAATATCATGTTCTTTGACTTCAACCATAAAATTCAGTTCAATAGCAATGTCGCATAATAATTTTTAAATGAGCATATCTTTAGAATTTCTGATACACAGTTTCGCACGCTGGAGATAAAAAAGGTTTTTTTGAACACAATTTCAGCAGAAAATTCTTTTGATCTCAAATATGTTATTTTAGTATCAATTCCATCTTCTGAATACATACCTATCCATTTCATGAGAAATAAATCTTTCAACGGAGGGCAAAACTTTTAAGGGAAAAAAAAAGCATCCACCCACATGTCAAAGATTCATTTTCCAAGAAAGGCATTGAATTTAATACCACGTGTAAATTTTCCACTCGCAAATGTACTAGAAATTATCACTCTGTTCCGCGCGTCCAGTGCTATCAACTTCCTATAAAAAAAAAGCATCTGCAGACATTTTGGAACGATGCAATCTAATAAAATGAACAAAAACTGTCATTTGTACAGAACTTTGTGTTTATTCTCAGCTTGAAGATTTATGGTCCTCTTTGGGGAATTTTTTTCCCCGGCTCTTTATGCTTGACAGCTAGAATTATACCGGCTGGGGACTGTGGTCAAATTTATAATGTGATAGCCTCATCTCTATTTGTTACCGTACCTATACATTTCCATTAAAATTTCCTTCCATATTCTCATATGGTTTCTAGCATTCTCTATAATCTCATTAATGACGGTTTAAGAGTTTAACCATTTTTCATTGATAAGCATGAAAATAATTCTTTCTGTCATCCCTTCAAACAGTACCATTATACTATATATTCAACCGGAGTCTGGCTGAGCTATTTGTTAGTTTTTGAGAGCATTCAAGACAGAGTCCCTAATAAGAGGAGATCTAGTATTTTTACTATTATTATTAAAATATTTACCATAAATTTAATAATTTATTAAATTTTTATTTATAACTTTACATTTTATTGAATTTTAATTATTAATTAATTTATTATTTTATTTATTTATTTTTGTTCCTGTTTTCTAACAGCCTTCCATAGCACTTTAGAAGTTAAGCACTGGTTATATGGCAAGGTGTACAGTCATAGAGACTATGGATAATATTTTGGATATTGCAAACCAGGCAGCTATAATCAGTTGCCAGATTTCATCTATAGTTTAAGCTAACAGTCTTTGATGTGCCAGTGTATATGATATTACAGATCAGATATGTTTAACCCTTTGCGCTCGAAGCGCTTTTCTGTGCACATTGTCCATTCTGAAGGTTCAGTCTCTTCTTTATAATCACTTTGGCTTCCAGATTCACTATCGATTATTCGGATTTTTCATCTTCTTGCTCCTCTAACATCGTCACTATCTTTATCACTTCCGTCTTCGTTCTCATGGGCAAGCTCTCTATGTAGTGATGTAATTTTGTTCGTTATAGCCGAAAAATTAAACTCAACTTCGCTAGAAGCAACTTCGTCATGTTCCATACTTATTGGGCTGAGTAACTTTGAGAGAAATACTGCGATCAGCAAGAAGGTTGAGTTCAAACTGATGTCGAAGACAGAATCCTACCCGCAGTCGCAAGTATTTTTGAGATAAGACATGTAATCGCATAAGCATTGCAAAGACAACCTTTATTTGAGATAAGACTTCCTTATAGCTATTCAGACACCTCGTAATATGATCTACAAAAGGCCAAGTAGATCTCTCAAGCGATATTCCTTAGGACAAACACAAATAAACACATCAATTCGAATGGTGCCTCTCAGGCACCGCTCGAGTTATCGCATCACATGCAGTGGTGCCTGAGAGGCACCGCTCGAGTGCAAAAGGTTAATTGGGGAAATATCCAGTAAATGTGTCGACCAAGACAGAACCTGTTATGTGTTAAGGAAATATCCCATATTCAGTGCGATGCAAAGTAACCCACTGCCCTATTGAAAGGTAGCTTTAGGGTGCTTTTAAAGATATAACACAACTGTAGCCCTAGCACATCTGTAATGCAAACTTGACCGATCAGAGTGCCAGGTACGCTAGTAGACACAAATGGAATTCACAAAGAAACGTAGCCAATACTATGACTTGCACTCCTGAATCACTATGATCATACAACAAGCACTTCTCCTACTGTCACTGAACATTCACATGCCCATCATAATGTTGCACATAAATGGTATTCATATTAGAAGATAATGTCATGCTTTCATGTGCTTATGTGCATGGTTTAGTAACGGCACACATGCATGCTATACTATTAAAAGTAGGCTAAGCAATGGCGTCTGTGCAAACGATCTGTGACTATCAAGAGATATATTACGTGCAGACATTTCTTGCCATAACATACCCTTACTTTTCGTCAAGAGTGTAATGTGGCAATGTGGTCCATTTGGAGCATTTGCGCGAATTGTCTTTCCTCTAAAAAATAAGCGTGTCAAGATCACTGTGAGCCTGCATGTCACTTAGCTCATTTTCCCTAGACTCACTGTTCGTGTTTGCATGAACTGCATTTCGCCAAACAGAAGCAGTATTTCGTGGTACGGTAATTCGAGGCTATCATTTTCCCGCGACCAAATTTGGACCCAGAATGCTGTACGCTCCATCTACTGCTCAATATTTCTAATCAAACCAAGAAAGACGAAACTCGAATTATATGTGGAAAACCAGTCAGCTCTCGCACTCAAGATGCACCCTGTGTACCAAATTTTGTTGCCCTGGGTCTATTAGCTTACGCGCAGCATGAATGAAAGACACAGAGAGACAGACTCTACCTTTTATTATATGTAGAGATAAAAGAAACAAATTCCAATTCCAAATTTGGGCTTCCAGATGCCCATATTCAGGTGGAAACATACATTATTCAAAATTTGATGGCTCTAGGTACCGTTGTTTTATCACAGTACAAGAAACATACATACATTTATAGAGATTCATCACTATTTAATTTCTTTAAATATAATACAGAGCATATTTGGTGGCATCAATTTGAAAAGTGAACAGACATTTCAATGCAAAATGCCAAAATGAAATTAATAGTCCCTCTGGGCAAATTGCCCCTTGTAATGTTCCCCTTCTCTGAAGAACACTTGGTCACCCACCCTAAAAGAAGGGATAGAGGACACTCTTCTCGCCTCGGCCAGAAGAGAGGAGTGGACTTTGCCCTCTGGTTGCAGGTGGGAGAAAAAAGGAGATTGAGATGTGAAAGAGAAAAGAGCGGACGCTGTTTTGCACGCTCCACCGTAGCAAAAATGTATTTTAAAGTATTTCAAAATTGTAATCTGTACATAGTTGTATATAAAGATAAATATTTAGCCTAGAACAGGTCTTGTGTATTTGATGGAGATACAATTATGGTACAACTGGTGGCAGCAGCGGTGAGATTTTAAAAGGTCCACTAGTCAAACGAAGAAGTGATGCTTCAATTCAACACAGTTGAGTAGAATCATCCTGATTCTATTTCTTCATTAAAAACTCGAATCATCCGGATTCCAGTTTCTTTGTTTGATCTAAGTGATATTTTAGAGAACCACCATGGTTCTGCACAACATGTTTTCTTCATTAAAAAACTCGAATCATCCTGATTCCAGTTTCTTCGTTTGATCTAAGTGATATTTTAGAGAATTGCCATGGTTCTGCACAACAAGTTTTCTTCATCAAAAATCATCCTGATTCTTATGTTATGACGTTCAAGTTCCATGTTGTGAAGAAAGAGTCAGCACATTCTACAGAAGTTGATCACATAAATTCTGTGTTTGTGAAAATCTTGTGATTCTGAAGATCGTATAGAATAGATATAGTATCAGTGAATCTTCATCTAACAAGTCATCAAACGGGGTAAGTACCTTGATTTTTACATTAAGGAAGTTACTTATCCTAAGTAGTTTTTTCTTATAAGTTGATATATTGTCTTCCTTGTTATGCATTTTAACTTGTATGTATGTGTATGTTATGGTGTTAGTTCTTAATGATTATTCATAACAAATTGC